AGTTTTATTAAGTAAGGACAATGTGTCGCTAAAGTTTCGTCGGAACGAATTTACGGAAAATCAATTAACGACTGGAGGCGTAACAATATATATTTTTTAGACACCTACTTGCCCTAGTTAGTTCTGCGTGATGGGGAGTTATTTTTATCGTTTTGTTACCCTAAAGTCCTCTTCCTTTGCGATTTTAAGACGCTTATTCTCTCAGTGTACTGTCACCCCTAGTTATCATTAGATCCTGGATTTGGCACTCGTTCGATGGACTATACGTTTCAGTTACGACGATATAATAGCTCTAAGTCACATTACTCACACACACAATTTATAAAGGATTCATATTTTATATTTCCTGAGAAATGCAGTATTTTAAGCATTATAAAAATGATAATTATTTTTCAAATCGAAAATTAATATATACGTATATCATATACACAAGATTCATAAGCTTTGGAAACTTCCAAATTACTACGAGGTCAAAATTTATTCTGTCAGCACTTTTAAGTTCATATGAAGAGTTTACGGACACTTGAGTCGATTGAAACAATCTGTACCTAGAGCCTGAACTATTCTACAAAACAACACTCACTCAGCTCATGAACAAAACCGTTAACCCACGTCCTGCGTATGCACGTCCTTTCCTCGAAATACTGAAAATATGTCAATGTAAATATACTCACTTTTGCCTGAATTATCTTAGCTACAGTGACATAAATTCATATTTGATAGGTATAAATGTCATAATGTAAGCATATTTACTTATTAATCGGTTAGTTAGTGACAAATATATAACCAATTTGAAATCCACAATGTTTTAGATACATGCACACAAATAAGGCAATGTTGGTATGTAAGTTAAGATAAAAGCCAAAAATACTGAATTTTAATTTGTTCCTGAACTCATTGAATAAAGAAAGATATATATATCTTACATGAGCTTTCTCATCTGACGCTATTTACCTAAATACTTACCTCCTTAATTTCAAACAGTGTGGTGTCCTTTTTCACAGTTAGAGGTATCAGAAGACCATTGGGCATAAGAACATCCAATGTGACCTTATCTATACTTGACCCGTCTCCCCAGACATCATTTGGAAGAGAACTAAGGCCCATTTGAAAACTTTTATTTCAACTGTACTAAACCCCTGTTCTAGTCCTTGGCTCTTAAAGTCCCTTCTGACTGTGTTCCATTGAAACATCTGAATCAAATCATCACAACCATATTCGCCATGATTATTGTTCGTCTGTAATACAAGCAAATACGGAAATAAAGCGAATGATACAAACTCTTAAGTCATGCACTGAAAGAAACATAATACTACTGTTTTCCTTCCTCCTCTCGAAACAGAACAATCAGGAAAAAAAATATAGTAACAAATAAACTTTTCTATTTTAGGTTTCATAGAAAATAATTTATCTGTAAGTGAAGCACTGTTCATATTATACCAAAGGACTTTGGAAGTACAAACACAATAAGTATGCTTAGTTTTTTAAAGAAAGACACTATTGTTTTATATGTAACTTAAGCTTCTTTCCATTCAATTTGACTTTTTTAATGCGTGACAATTTAAAACTTGAAACACATACACATAGGAATAAAACTTATAAGTACGAGTTCATTATGGGCAGTGAGCCGAAATACAAAACAAACAAATGACGCAAAGTTTATCTAAACAGATAGATACTTTCAAGTTGTTTTATTGGTGCGCTGCTGAACTTTCTAAAAACTGGAAGCGCCTTTATTTACTATAGAAGTGTTCAGTGTTTCTAAAGTTTTTGCATAATTTGACAACCACCATAGAATGTTGTAATCTAAATATCTTGTGCTGAGAGCATCATAATAGTATCATAAATACTATGTTCATGCCAAATCGTAGGTTTACATCACTATAACCTTTTCCGTGTTCTGATAACAAAAGTTGTTATTATCACCGTTAAGAAAAGGGAAGAAAGAAACTATAAACGTTTTTGTTTCTTTTCCGTAGTTGTAAAATAAACCAGTATATTTGAACTTGCAAGTAAAGTCTGAAACTGTACACACAAGTTTAAATAAATAAATATATCTATCGTTACTGGTAGCAATTTGGCCTAAAGTATCTTAACGTCAAGAAATTCACACATAAAAACCATTTAAAATAAGATTATCGCACTCGATCTTACCTATGTCGTAAGCCAAATAAGACACTAGTGTTCAAAGTCATTCGAGCAACACCTCGTTTCTCTGATAACGTTATTTCCATCTGACCAGGAAGAATCAAGTTTCCTTTTTCACCTTTCCTGTGAAGTTAGGAAATTAGCTCACTTCGCTTTTTATACGTATATCAAGGTATATGTTGTATTGTCTTATCATCAGGTATGGTGTGCATGCATATAATAGTCGCCCGTAAGGCTAACGTAATTCATAAATATAAATTTTGCAATTTTATTCCTAGAAAGACTGAATATGATTAACACGTCAGTGGCCAATAATATTTTTGTAAGTATTGTTTTATAACTTTGACGTTTATGCTACTTTTAGCTACAGGGAGTGAACGTGTTGCTCAATGTCTAGGATTTTCTGGAAAAGAAAGTTTAGGAAACACCCGAGCGATATAAAACGCGAATTACGTTAAAGCAGATTAATTGTTGATTAATTAGCGAGTCTTTCACGGTAGCTGATTGATTATGAAATTAGCAAGTAAGTTAGTCGGTTCGTCTTTACTTCAATTTCGTGAATATTGAGTAAGAAATAAATTCAAGAAGTATCGTACAAACAATACAAGTAAAAATTGATTGTTATTTGTGAAGTTAAGCATATGGTTAGTTCACGAAACCGTAAATTGTAAACTTGTAGTAGAAACAATAAAACGGTTTCGAGATTATGAAGTGAACTGTACTTTCAATATTTTATTTACAGAATAATTCAAAAGAAGCCACCTAAGACTAGAATTGAATAAATTGAAATTCACAAGAATAAATTAGTAGCATCAATGCTGCATATTATTAAAAGATCGGTGTGTATTAAAGAGAGATATCAAAACTCCATATATGTAAATTAATCTTATAAATTCATCTTAAAAAATAGGTCAGATTATACTTAAATGGCAATTTTAATGAAAAAAAATAGATATAGATAGAAATATACAAAGTAAAATACTGGAGAGCTACTTTCAAATTAACTTGATGTGTTTAATCCATATCGCTTAGGCTTTGGGGCTACAACTTAATAACCGTGATATAAACACTATTCGACACAAATCGGAACCTTTAATTTAACAGTTTTAATTATTGTGTGTTAGTTTATTGTCGTCGTCTCTTCCATTTCAATTCTGCTACCTACTGTAAGCTAGAACTTCCAAGAAAATAAAACAAAACTGTGAAATAGCTCGTCCTCTTTACCAGGAACTGCCAAAGAAACAAAACAATTATTCATATACGTACTTCCTTCCAAACACTGGCTGGGCAAATGTTTATCAAGTTTTAAACAGTGAGAAGAAGCTGTATGTTCAAAAAGTATTTCAATGAAGTTATATATATAAACCCGTTTAGAATGGTACAAAAGTTCCTTCAGTGATAATTATACTAGTGTAAAAAATAACTTAAATAGGAAAAGTGGAAATTAGGAAATAGGAATGGGAGCACCAAAAAATTATGGAAACAAGTTACGAATAGGCGAGATAACTTTACAACACTTAGTGATTTATGACACAGTGCAACCTCAAACTGGATGTGGTCATCGTTCAGCCCATTCCTACTTCGTGTAATTTTATAATTTGGTAGTTGTTCAAACTAAATGAAAGGTGTAAATAACTAAAATTCTCTGCTGTAAACTTTGTTTCAGTAACCAAGTACATATACATGGATGTAATCCAATTACGTACCATAACGAAATGCATGACATCATAAGGATTAGGGGGGGGGGGTTGATGTCGAAAATGAGGCAGAAAGCTCCAATATTCTTACTTTGCTCATGGGAGACATTATTGCTATCTGACTGGTAAAGGGTGGGCCAAAAGAATTGTATCCAAATCGCTAAATTTTGAAATTTGAGTATT